TCAGGGTGGTCATGGTACACGGACCAAGGGAGGACTTGGGTTACCACCGGGTTAAATGGTCCCACCTCCGCGGCGCTGGTGATGGCAACTGTGACCCGCTCCGTCACTGACAGCCGACACACACACACCAAACATTTCCTGCTCTCTTCTGTCAAATGAACCATACAATTTCTTATTTATTTTAAGTTTATTTAAATATGGGGAATGATTGTGTTAAGAGGTGGTTAACCTGTTTAGGTTTGGGTCGGATTCTTTTGTTGAAATGTGGTTTTGAGTTGATTGTGTCACCTGTTGACGGTGAGCCTGTGGGAGGGGCTATGGGGTCAAAAGGGACGGTGTTGGTTCCTTGTTTGTTTTGGACTGTGTCACTCGGAAGAATGTTGCAATGAAGGCAACAGTTGGGACATGTTTGGGAGTTGGTTGCAGAGAAGGCAACCCAGAGCATGTTTACTCTAATGAGTGAGGGACGGCCTGCTTGTGGATTTTATTTTGTTGTCTAACTTGTGCTGGTTCGCTATTTTTTTATTTGTTGCTGTTATAAATAAAGTTTTGGAGCGTAACCAAACCGACTAGGCCAGTGTTTGTGAACGGACAATTAGAGCCCCGTCACAGCAACATTGTGTCCGATGCATCAATTAATGGTGCCCCGACCGAGAGGGTTTGGGGTGCCCCGGAACCAGGCAGTACCCCAGCAGGAAACACGTTTTATGGTTAAAGGAGGAAAGAGTGATAGAACCGGGGTAAAGCAAAGAAAGTGTCCGACAATAGGGACTTGTGAGGCGGCCAGAGAGTCTGTCATCTTTCGGTCCTATCCTCCAGGCAATGCGGTACCAGAACTGGGTCAAATTGACCAAAATGTTAAAAAAAAAAGTTTCAATTCATCCATCGAAAAGGGCTGAAAATGAAAAAAAGTATCCGAAAATAGTGCATCATGAGCCTGCAAGAATCCCCTGTCAACTCCCCTTGCATTCCTCCACAGTCAGAACAAGTCTGTGTTAACTTTTGGAAGAACCATAGAAAAGGGGTGAAAATGGAAAAATGTATCCGAAAAATAATGTCTCATAAGGCGGATAGAGTCCCCTGACAACTCCCCTTACATTCCTCCAGAGACCAGTTCAAAAACTTAAGTTTGGTAAGAACCATGCTAGGGGGTCTCCATGCAACAATTGTATCCGAGCCAGAGTGCCCATGGAGCGTATACATTCCTCCATGAAGTGAAACAGCCGTTTTTTTTCCGAGTCCTCTCCAAAACCGGGTTTCCTATTTCGTGCGGATAGTAGTCTGAAATGGATGAATGCATTTTTTTGATGGAGAATGGGAGGCTTGGATTCCCCTCTCCGTTGTAAGTTGCAACGGGGGAGTGGAAAAGTATCCGGGGCTTCGGCCTGAAGCGCCGAAGGGTTGAGCTTTTTTGAGCCCCTTCTCTGTTGGCACTCAGTCGTTTTTTCGAGAATTGTTTAAAACTTCATTTTTGACTATTTTAAGATATAATTGACCGTTTCCTTTACTTTTTTCTTCTTTCCACGGGTGGGGGCGCATGGCAGGTCACCTATGAGCTCCCAAATTAGGCCTGGAACCTCCAGGAATTGTGGGCTAAGCTCCATAAACTGACAAAGTCACCCAGAAATATCACTTTTATAGCCCAAAAATATATAATACAAATACATTTAAATAGTAAAAGGTACAATTGTGCTCCGAATTACCCGGAATTTGATTTATATAGCCCCATGATAGTGAATAAAAACAATTTTCATGGAAAAAAGTGTTAAAACGCCTGATTAATATGTTCGTAATGCTGGCAGCAGGTTCACTGCTGTTAGCAGCAGAGGTCGCGTTAACCGAATATTTTCCGTCTATGACCATTTTCTTTTAACAATGACGGAAAAATCTGAAAGCAGTCCGTCATTTTGACAGATTAGAACAAACTCAGAACAGCGCCAAAGCTTCCCCGCAGCGAGGCTCCAGTGTTATGCCGTGTTATTATGCATGCCCTCCAAAAATGAGATGATATCGTTTCCAAACCTAACTTTGTCGTACAGATCATTGAAATGTCTGTGAGTTGATACTATGGGCACTTGTAAATGTCTATAACTATGTAAATGTATCCTGTAAATATAATGTATAATGTCCTTTATTGTTTTATGTTTCATGTGGAACATATATGCTGCAGGTCTCCCTTGAAAAAGAGATCTATGATCTCAATGGGACCAATCTGGTTAAATAAAGGTTTGAAATTAAATGAAATTTACGCTGTGGTGCGCTCCCGCGAGGTGCAGTGGGCATGCATGACACCAGCGCTAACAGTGCACGAGCGCCACCCCCCTGTCCCTGTCACCCGTTGACAGTTCACGAGCGTGCTTCCCCCCCCCCCCCCCCCCCCATAATGGATTGTGACGGAAATGTTACGATCCTGTCCGAGGAAATCTCTAGCGTAACCTCTGGTTAGCAGGGTCTCACGCTCACAGGCACCTAGGCAGAGCTCCAGGGTGATGCACAAGGCTTTCATACCCAGCAATGAGTGTTTGAAAGCTGGGGAAAAGTGCTGTGAATACAGGGAGAGAGCAGTCAGAGAGAAGCGGGGTGTGGGACACAGAGAGCTCCTTGCAGCACATGGCTCTCCCACCCAGACTGCACCCAGAGGACAGGCTGCTTCACAGCACTTTGTAACCCAGGAAAGCAGCTTGAATCGTGGGTACCTGAGTGTTAAAAGTGCATTAAACTGTTTTAATTCCAATGCGCATTTGACTGCATAAACAGCCGGTCATATGGACAGGAAACTGTCCATTTCGTCCACATTTGACTCATGAAATGTACAAGAAGATAAGTACAGCAGAGTCACTGCTGTTAGCAGGGTCTCACACTCACAGGCACATAGACAGAGATCCAGGGTGATGCACAAGGCTTTTCTACCCTGTAATAAGTCTCTGAAAGGCGGGGGAAAGTGCTGTGAATACAGGGAGAGAGCAGCCAGAGAGAAGCGGGCTGTGAGAGCCACAGAGCGCACCCAGAGATCTCCTTGCAGCGCATGGCTCTTGCACCCAGACTGCACCCAGAGAACAGGCTGCTTCACAGCACTTTACAAGCCAGGAACAGTGATTGAATCCTGGGTATACATGTTTTAAATAGTCTGATACCTCCAGGGCGCATCACCACATTTTACAAGCCAGGGAAGGTGCCTGAATCCTGGGTAAACATTGTTTAATTGTTTAAGTGTTTTTAAATGTGTGAAACAGTGTTTTGTCACTTTCAAAACTCTCCCGTCATTGACCGGAGAAATTGGGTCGATGTTGTATTCAATCTGACCGTTAATATTCCAGTGAGACGAAGTACGTACAATGACCGGAGTGATCCCATGTTAATTTTGTCCCAAAACCGGAGCATTCCCTCACCAAGTCCTCAGTGATGGTTAACCCTAACCAAGTCCTCAGTGATGGTTAACCCTAACCAAGTCCTCAGTGATGGTTAACCCTACCCAAGTCCTCAGTGATGGTTAACCCTAACCAAGTCCTCAGTGATGGTTAACCCTAACCAAGTCCTCAGTGATGGTTAACCCTAACCAAGTCCTCAGTGATGGTTAACCCTAACCAAGTCCTCAGTGATGGTTAACCCTAACCAAGTCCTCAGTGATGGTTAACCCTAACCAAGTCCTCAGTGATGGTTAACCCTACCCAAGTCCTCAGTGATGGTTAACCCTAACCAAGTCCTCAGTGATGGTTAACCCTACCCAAGTCCTCAGTGATGGTTAACCACCAAGTCCTCAGTGATGGTTAACCCTACCAAGTCCTCAGTGATGGTTAACCCTAACCAGTCCTCAGTGGATGGTTAACCCTCAACCAAGTCCTCCGTGATGGCTTAACCCCTAACCAAGTCCATCAGTTATGGTTACCCTAACCATGTCTCAGTATGGTTAACCCTAAGCAAGTCCTCTAGTTGATGGTTAACCCTAACCAAGTCCTCAGTGATGGTTAACCCTAACCAAGTCCTCCAGTGATGGTTAACCCTAACCAAGTCCTCAGTGATGGTTAACCCTAACCAATGTCCTCAGTGACTGGTTAACCCTAACCAAGTCACCTCAGTGATCGGTTAACCTCTAACCAAGTCCTCAGTGATGGTTAACCCTCACCAAGTCCCTTCTAGTGATGGTTAACCCTAACCAAGTCCTCAGTGATGGTTAACCCTAACCAAGTCCTCAGTGATGGTAACCCTAACCAAGTCCTCAGTGTATGGTTAACCCTAACCAAGTCCTCAGTGATGGGTTAACCCTAACCAAGTCCTCAGTGATGGTTAACCCTAACCAAGTCCTCAGTGATGGTTAACCCTAACCAATGTCCTCAGTGATGGTTAACCCTAACCAAGTCCTCAGTGATGGTTTAACCCTAACCAAGTCCTCAGTGATGGTTAACCCTAACCAAGTCCTCAGTGATGGTTAACCCTAACCAAGTCCTCAGTGATGGTTAACCCTAACCAAGTCCTCAGTGATGGTTAACCCTAACCAAGTCCTCAGTGATGGTTAACCCTAACCATGTCCTCAGTGATGGTTAACCCTAACCAAGTCCTCAGTGATGGTTAACCCTAACCAAGTCCTCAGTGATGGTTAACCCTAACCAAGTCCTCAGTGATGGTTAACCCTAACCAAGTCCTCAGTGATGGTTAACCCTAACCCAAGTCCTCAGTGATGGTTAACCCTAACCAATGTCCTCAGTGATGGTTAACCCTAACCAAGTCCTCAGTGATGGTTAACCCTAACCAAGTCCTCAGTGATGGTTAACCCTAACCATGTCCTCAGTGATGGTTAACCCTAACCATGTCCTCAGTGATGGTTAACCCTAACCAAGTCCTCAGTGATGGTTAACCCTAACCAAGTCCTCAGTGATGGTTAACCCTAACCAAGTCCTCAGTGATGGTTAATCCTAACCAAGTCCTCAGTGATGGGGCATCGTACTCTTCCAACATAAAGCGATTATAAAAACCTCATTAATAAACATGCTTTTCTCTTCCAGCATGTGCAGCTGCTGACTCAGGTCCACCTGCTGACTCGCCGCGTGGACGCCCTGAACCACGAGAACTGCATCACTAAACACTACCTGGTGAGCACACACACTCACTCACTCACTCACTCACTCACTCACTCACTCACTCACTCCAGTGTTTCCCCTACCATTGTCTTGGCGGGGTGCTGCGCCCTGCCAACGGAGCCCCGCGCCCCGCCTGAGATTCAAGGTGTTTATTTTATTGAAAAAAATATATAGATATAGCACCAAATTTCAACTGAAGTAACCTATCTACGGTCACTTTTCACATTGAACATGTGCTCTTTTATTAAAGAAACTAAACGCCTATGTTATTTATCCAATGTGTGCATGTTTCAGTGTCCACTGCTCTGCGTATTCACATTCTCCCTCCGTTCCGTTTCTGAAGGGCGGGGCTCTGCTCCCCTCCCCCTAGGGGAAACACTGCATTCACTCACTCGGGAGCAACTCAGTTGTGTTACGCAGCGTCCACACGGCGGCGTGCGTTGAAGCTTGCCGGCGGGCGTGTCTGAAACTCGACCAACAACCAATCACATGAATCTCCCGCCCCGGACACACTTGAGCAGTGGTTCTCTACCTGTGGTACGCGGAGGAATCACATAACACAGACATAAAAAATACAGAAAACACAACTAAGTAAACAAAAAGACGAAAAGCTGTCACTACATTGTGCACATTTGGGACAGTAAGAAAGGTGCACTACTTATTACTGCAAGAGCAGCTGGTGGTAAGTGTGAAGATAAACTTCTGTTGTTGCAATGTTGAGGTAGAATGAAGGAGTCTGGAACCGTCGTTAGCCAAAGCACTGAGAGTTTTATTGATCACAGTACATTAATTACATACGGCCGGGAGATCATCTTAGTTTCACACTGTCCTGTGCTCCACCAAGATAATCTCTGCCCCAGAATAGACCCAACACGCATCAACATGAGGAAAGGCGGGCTCACAGAAACCCGCGTATACCTAATTAGCTATTAAATGCGAGACAATAATCTCCTTGTGTCAAAGAGATGCAGCTAGGTCTCAACCCTCCCCCACGGATATAGGAGAAGCGTTTGACCTGTGACCTCAACTTACAGAGGAGTCCTTGAGTGACTACAAGCAGATGTTTGCAGTATCACAGATTCTAAGAAACAATAAGAAGCTCTATAAACAGATCAGATTAAAATATTCTCTTACAGTAAGGACCTTCCTTAACAACTTCCATTTAAAACAGGCTATAGATGAGAGTAACAAATACGTCACTTCCGGGCAAAAATAATGGCTCCGCCCACTTTCCGGGGAAAACAACGCTGTCAGTTGAACAGTGGTCAATACAAATTCTGAAGTTCTTGCCAATCCGATCAGAAATGTACCAAAGATTTTTGGATCTTCAAAGAGCCCGATTCCAATGGCCAGACAGGCAAACAATTGCATTAAGCCATTCGAAATCGACAATCGGGCTCGATATATGGTTAAATATAGCAGTAGGCTATCGATTTTCATAGATGAGAGTAACATCTACGTGACTTTACGGCCCCGCCCACTTTTCGGGGAAACAACGCTGTCATTTGAATGGCGATCGAGCCTGAAGCCACAGAGCTCTTCTGTTACTGTCCTTTCTTCTTAGAGGAAGTAAAGAAACACTGAACTCTGGATTATTTTTTATGTTTGAGGTGCAATAAACGACACAGCAGCTTTTTGGCATGATAAAACTAATATGTTCTGCCTCGCTCATGAGAGTAACAGCTGGAGAAATTATAGCCTCGCCGACTGATTTCAATTTAACCATATATCAAGACCGATTGTCGATTACCAATGATCAAATATAATTGTTTGCCTGACTGGCCATCGTAATCGAGCTCTTTGAAGATCCAAAAATCCACGGTTTTCAAATATTTTTTATCGGGTCTTCAGTAACTCCCCCCCTCCCCCCTCCCCCCTCCCCCTCCCCCCCCCCTCCCCCCTCCCCCTCCCCCCAGGAGGAGCTGCAGCAGTTTGCCAGGCGTCGGGAGGAGCTTCTCCTCAGCAGCAGCTTCAGAGGGTGTAACCTTCAGGGGGCTCTGGACCTCCTGCGGGAGCAGACAGCGGGTCCTGGTCCTGGTCCTCCTGCCTCCTCCAGACGCTGGCTCCCCACCATGAGCCCTGCCACCAGGAGTAAGGACAGGAGTCAGAACAATCAGAACACCTTCGTCCCACAGAGAGGACCTTCACATTGTTACAGCAGAAAAGAGCCACAGACAGCTTAATGTTAACTAAGAAGCATGCATACACAAATATGAAAGATACAACAATTATAATTTAAAAAAGTTACACAATTTACAAAATACACATCTTGGTTCTGAGGATTTAGCAGCCAGGTATATATTACACAGGTATTAACGGCACATATATTGTATGTAGTTTGTTGGTATTTAACAACGTGTGTGTTCTAGTAGGGGCCGTGCTGGTTATATAGTCTGAAGTGACCTGCTGCTGTGTGTGGTTGTTTCAGCTGGTTCTGATCCTGGTTCTGTTCAGGTCTGGCCTTCCCTCTGATGCCTGCAGACGAGGCCTGGCTGTTCGCCACGCGGCCCGTCTTCCTGTACCCAGAACTACTTCCTGTCTGCAGCCTGGACCCGCCGGCCCAGACCCGACGGCGCCGCAGCGTGTACACCGCCGGAGAGGACGGGTACACCTCTTTCTCAGAACTCTGACTCTTTCTCAAAACTCTGACTCTTTCTCAGTCACACACAGTTACAGTCACACAAAGTTACAGTCACACACAGTTACAGTCACACAAAATTACAGTCACACAAAGTTACAGTCACACACAGTTACAGTCACACACAGTTACAGTCAGCGTGACAGTCACACACAGTTACAGTCACACAAAGTTACAGTCACACACAGTTACAGTCACACAAAATTACAGTCACACAAAGTTACAGTCACACACAGTTACAGTCACACACAGTTACAGTCAGCGTGACAGTCACACACAGTTACAGTCACACAAAGTTACAGTCACACACAGTTCACACACAGTTACAGTCACACACAGTTACAGTCACACAAAGTTACAGTCACACACAGTTACAGTCACACACAGTTACAGTCAGTGTGACAGTCACACACAGTTACAGTCACACACAGTTACAGTCACACACAGTTACAGTCACACAAAGTTACAGTCACACACAGTTACAGTCACACACAGTTACAGTCACACAAAGTTACAGTCACACACAGTTACGGTCACACACAGTTACGGTCACACAAAGTTACGGTCACACACAGTTACGGTCACACACAGTTACGGTCACACATCGTTACAGTCACACACCGTTACAGTCACACACAGTTACAGTCACACACCGTTACAGTCACACACAGTTACAGTCACACAAAGTTACAGTCACACAAAGTTAGTCACACAAAGTTACAGTCACACACAGTTACAGTCACACACAGTTACAGTCACACACAGTTACAGTCACACAGTTACAGTCACACACAGTTACAGTCACACACAGTTACAGTCACACAGTTACAGTCACACACAGTTACAGTCACACAAAGTTACAGTCACACACAGTTACAGTCACACACAGTTACAGTCACACACAGTTACAGTCACACACAGTTACAGTCACACACAGTTACAGTCACACACAGTTACAGTCACACACAGTTACAGTCACACAAAGTTACAGTCACACTCAGTCACACTCAGTCACACTCAGTCACACACAGTCACACTCAGTCACACTCAGTCACACACAGTCACACACAGTCACACACAGTCACACACATTCACACACATTCACACAGTCACACACATTCACACACAGTCACACTCAGTCACACTCAGTCACACTCAGTCACACACAGTCACACTCAGTCACACACAGTCACACACAGTCACACTCAGTCACACTCAGTCACACAGTCACACTCAGTCACACACAGTCACACACAGTCACACACATTCACACACATTCACACATATTCACACATTCACACTCAGTCCCACTCAGTCACACACACACACACACACACACACACACACACACACACACACACACACACACACACACACACACACACACACACACACACACACACACACACACACACACAGGGAACCCAACACACGGTGTATCATACAAATATATCTCCCATGATGCCTCTGTGCAGGTTGATGGTGCTGGCTCTGAAGCACTTTGAGGGGGGGGTGCAGCCGGATCAGCTGATCAGCTCCTACCTGCTGTGCAAGTCCCGCTGGAATCTGAGGAAACACATCCGAGAGATGAGTGGCACCAGAGCCCCCCCCCCACAGCGTCATCAAGGTGTGTGTGTGTGTGTGTGTGTGTGTGTGTGTGTGTGTGTGTGTGTGTGTGTGTGTGTGTGTGTGTGTGTGTGTGTGTGTGTGTGTGTGTGTGTGTGTGTGTGTGTGTGTGTGTGTGTGTGTGTGTGTGTGTGTGTGTGTGTGTGTGTGTGTGTGTGTGTGTGTGTGTGTGTGTGTGTGTGTGTGTGTGTGTGTGTGTGTGTGTGTGTGTGTGTGTGTGTGTGTGTGTGTGTGTGTTGTGTGTGTGTGTGTGTGTGTGTGTGTGTGTGTGTGTGTGTGTGTGTGTGTGTGTGTGTGTGTGTGTGTTGCTTTGAGGGGTCGTAAAGTCTTAATTGTATAATATATACTCTGTCCTCCAGGCGTTCCTGAGTCAGAGAGTGGTGCCCCCCCTCCCCCTCGCCTGCAGCAGGGTTCAGCCTGGAGAGCAGCGCCCCCCCGTGGAGAGGGACACCTCCATCCTGACTAACTGGTTGAAGGTGACACAGATGTTTCATTCATACTTTACACTGTTTATTAATTAAAAAGTAATGAAAACAGTTAGTTCACACATTGACACAGACGTTAGGCTCGTTTGAGACAGCGAGACGCAGACCTGCGCAATTGCAACAGCCGTCTTGCTAGTGCGTTGCATGATGGTTAGTCATTGTGTCCGACTTGCTCTGGAGCTCGCCTACATGAGACGTTGAAATCTCGCGGGACAAAGACATTACTTTTCACTTCACTGCTTGTTGCTCCTGGTTAGAAGCTAAACTGCATTTCGTTGTCTCCTGTAATCTGTGCAATATCTATAAAGTTGAATCTAAGCAGGAACAAATGTATTCACTTCGTACATATCTGACATTAACGATTAAACACATGTGTGCATTCTTTATAAATGCAAACCGAGTCAAGCCGACTCCGGAGGTGGCGGTATGCACCTTCAAGCTGTTTGCAATCCGCCAAAAAACCGAGAGAAGAATAAGCCAAAGCCGACTCGGAGCTGTCCGACTTCAGGCGAGCTTTTTGAGAACTCCCCCGGCTGCGATCGGCTATTCTCGTCTACTTTCGAGGCGAGCCGCAGCTCGTCTCAAACAAGCCTATTAGCTGTTCAGCTAGCAGACGTTAGCTGTTCAGCTAGCATACGTTAGCTGTTCAGCTATTAGACGTTAGCTGTTCAGCTATTAGACGTTAGCTGTTCAGCTAGCAGATGTTAGCTGTTCAGCTAGCAGACGTTAGCTGTTCAGCTATTAGACGTTAGCTGTTCAGCTAGCAGACGTTAGCTGTTCAGCTAGCAGACGTTAGCTGCTTAAGGTGAATATGCTTACACTGTGTTCCTCTGCTCCTCCAGAACAGTCAGCTGATCATCCAGAAGACCCGCCTCCCCTCCGGCTGTTACCCCCCCTCCCTCCCCCCCAGCTGCAGCCTCAGGCTCCACCCCCATTGGCTCAACAAGTCAGGCCACGCCCCTCCCCCCCCCCAAAGGCGTCTCTTCGCCTTAGCCCACAATGCATCTCTGCTGCCGTTGGCCAAAGCCCCGGCAGCCCGACAGCCAATCAGCTCACAGCTACGCCCTCCTGCGGTTGGACCCCCGCCTCCTTCCAGCACAGCGCTCTCATTGGCTGCTGCGCACACACTCCCTGCCCCCACCATCCCGCCCTGCCTTCCTATTGGTCAGACGACACAGCAGAGCATCCTCCTCCCCCTCCCCTCCCTCACCAGCCCGGAAACTACAAATCCCAGAATGCCTTGCTCTGCTGCCAATTCTGGGTACCTCCTACTCCAGATGGTGTGGACTCCTCCAACCAAAACCTCCCAGAATACACCTGGGCCAATCAGAGAGGACAGACAGGATGGGGGGGAGTCGGGAGAGAGTTCAGCCTCCACACTGAGCCCGGTGTCTTCCTGTTCAGAGAAGGGGGAGGAGGAGGGGGGAGGAGAGGATGAGGAGGAGAGACAGAGGGAAAATGGGGGAGGAGAGGAAGAGGAGGGTACAGGGGGAGGATGAAGCTGGTGGGGGAGGAAACGAGGAAGAGGAGGGACAGAGGGAAGATGGGGGAGGAGAGGAGGGACAGTGTGGGGGAGGAAAGAACAGAAAGAAGATGGGGGAGGAGAGGAAGAGGAGGGACAGGGGGGGGAGGAAGAGGGAGGAACAAAAAGAAGATGGGGGAGGAGAGAAGAAGATGGAGACAAAGATGAAGATCAGGACCGACAGGGGGACGAGAGGAGAGAGGAGGAGGATTTTGATGATCCTCACTCAGATGAAGACGAGGAGGAAGTGATGTCATCGGCGTCCGAGGAGTCTGTGCTTTCTGTTCCAGAAGCTAACAGGTAAACAGAGCTACAGGGTAAACAGGAAGTAGTTAGTTTCAGAGCTACAGGTAAACAGAGCTACAGGTAAACAGGAAGTAGTTAGTTTCAGAGCTACAGGTAAACAGATCTACAGGTAAACAGAGCTACAGGTAAACAGGAAGTAGTTAGTTTCAGAGCTACAGGTAAACAGAGCTACAGGTAAACAGGAAGTAGTTAGTTTCAGAGCTACAGGTAAACAGATCTACAGGGAAACAGGAAGTAGTTAGTTTCAGAGCTACAGGTAAACAGATCTACAGGTAAACAGAGCTACAGGTAAACAGGAAGTAGTTAGTTTCAGACCTACAGGTAAACAGATCTACAGGTAAACAGAGCTACAGGTAAACAGGAAGTAGTTAGTTTCAGACCTACAGGTAAACAGATCTACAGGTAAACAGAGCTACAGGTAAACAGGAAGTAGTTAGTTTCAGAGCTACAGGTAAACAGGAAGTAGTTAGTTTCAGACCTACAGGTAAACAGGAAGTAGTTAGTTTCAGATCTACAGGTAAACAGAGCTACAGGTAAACAGATCTACAGGTAAACAGGAAGTAGTTAGTTTCAGACCTACAGGTAAACAGGAAGTAGTTAGTTTCTCACCTACAGGTAGTTTCAGATCTACAGGTAAACAGGAAGTAGTTAGTTTCAGAGCTACAGGTAAACAGGAAGTAGTTAGTTTCAGACCTACAGGTAAACAGAGCTACAGGTAAACAGGAAGTAGTTAGTTTCAGACCTACAGGTAAACAGAGCTACAGGTAAACAGGAAGTAGTTCGTTTCAGAACTACAGGTAAACAGAGCTACAGGTAAGCAGGAAGTAGTTAGTTTCAGAGCTACAGGTAAACAGAAAGTAGTTAGTTTCAGACCTACAGGTAAACAGAGCTACAGGTAAACAGGAAGTAGTTAGTTTCAGAACTATAGGTAAACAGAGCTACAGGTAAGCAGGAAGTAGTTAGTTTCAGAGCTACAGGTAAACAGGAAGTAGTTAGTTTCAGAGCTACAGGTAAACAGAGCTACAGGTAAACAGGAAGTAGTTACTTTCAGACCTACAGGTAAACAGAGCTGCAGGTAAACAGGAAGTAGTTAGTTTCAGACCTACAGGTAAACAGGAAGTAGTTAGTTTCAGACCTACAGGTAAACAGAGCTACAGGTAAACAGGAAGTAGTTTGTTTCAGACCTACAGGTAAACAGAGCTATAGGTAAACAGACCTACAGGTAAACAGGAAGTAGTTAGTTTCAGAACTACAGGTAAACAGAGCTACAGGTAAGCAGGAAGTAGTTCGTTTCAGAGCTACAGGTAAACAGAGCTACAGGTAAGCAGGAAGTAGTTAGTTTCAGACCTACAGGTAAGCAGGAAGTAGTTAGTTTCAGAGCTACAGGTAAACAGAGCTACAGGTAAACAGGAAGTAGTTAGTTTCAGAGCTACAGGTAAACTGAGCTACAGGTAAGCAGGAAGTAGTTAGTTTCAGAGCTACAGGTAAACAGGAAGTAGTTAGTTTCAGACCTACAGGTAAACAGAGCTACAGGTAAGCAGGAAGTAGTTATTTTCAGAGCTACAGGTAAACAGATCTATAGGTAAACAGAGCTACAGGTAAGCAGGAAGTAGTTAGTTTCAGAGCTACAGGTAAACAGAGCTACAGGTAAACAGGAAGTAGTTAGTTTCAGACCTACAGGTAAACAGCTACAGGTAAAGAGGAAGTAGTTAGTTTCAGACCTACAGGTAAACAGGAAGTAGTTAGTTTCAGATCTACAGGTAAACAGAGCTACAGGTAAACAGGAAGTAGTTAGTTTCAGACCTACAGGTAAACAGATCTACAGGTAAACAGAGCTACAGGTAAACAGGAAGTAGTTAGTTTCAGAGCTACAGGTAAACAGGAAGTAGTTAGTTTCAGACCTACAGGTAAACAGGAAGTAGTTAGTTTCAGATCTACAGGTAAACAGAGCTACAGGTAAACAGATCTACAGGTAAACAGGAAGTAGTTAGTTTCAGACCTACAGGTAAACAGGAAGTAGTTAGTTTCTCAACTACAGGTAGTTTCAGATCTACAGGTAAACAGGAAGTAGTTAGTTTCAGACCTACAGGTAAACAGAGCTACAGGTAAACAGGAAGTAGTTAGTTTCAGACCTACAGGTAAACAGAGCTACAGGTAAACAGGAAGTAGTTCGTTTCAGAACTACAGGTAAACAGAGCTACAGGTAAGCAGGAAGTAGTTAGTTTCAGAGCTACAGGTAAACAGATCTACAGGGAAACAGGAAGTAGTTAGTTTCAGAGCTACAGGTAAACAGATCTACAGGTAAACAGAGCTACAGGTAAACAGGAAGTAGTTAGTTTCAGACCTACAGGTAAACAGATCTACAGGTAAACAGAGCTACAGGTAAACAGGAAGTAGTTAGTTTCAGAGCTACAGGTAAACAGGAAGTAGTTAGTTTCAGACCTACAGGTAAACAGGAAGTAGTTAGTTTCAGATCTACAGGTAAACAGAGCTACAGGTAAACAGATCTACAGGTAAACAGGAAGTAGTTAGTTTCAGACCTACAGGTAAACAGGAAGTAGTTAGTTTCTCACCTACAGGTAGTTTCAGATCTACAGGTAAACAGGAAGTAGTTAGTTTCAGAGCTACAGGTAAACAGAGCTACAGATAAAAAGGAAGTAGTTAGTTTCAGACCTACAGGTAAACAGAGCTACAGGTAAACAGGAAGTAGTTCGTTTCAGAACTACAGGTAAACAGAGCTACAGGTAAGCAGGAAGTAGTTAGTTTCAGAGCTACAGGTAAACAGAAAGTAGTTAGTTTCAGACCTACAGGTAAACAGAGCTACAGGTAAACAGGAAGTAGTTAGTTTCAGAACTACAGGTAAACAGAGCTACAGGTAAGCAGGAAGTAGTTCGTTTCAGAGCTACAGGTAAACAGGAAGTAGTTCGTTTCAGACCTACAGGTAAACAGAGCTACAGGTAAGCAGGAAGTAGTTAGTTTCAGAGCTACAGGTAAACAGAGCTACAGATAAACAGGAAGTAGTTCGTTTCAGAGCTACAGGTAAACAGAGCTACAGGTAAACAGGAAGTAGTTACTTTCAGACCTACAGGTAAACAGAGCTGCAGGTAAACAGGAAGTAGTTAGTTTCAGACCTACAGGTAAACAGGAAGTAGTTAGTTTCAGACCTACAGGTAAACAGAGCTACAGGTAAACAGGAAGTAGTTCGTTTCAGACCTACAGGTAAACAGAGCTATAGGTAAACAGAGCTACAGGTAAACAGGAAGTAGTTAGTTTCAGAACTACAGGTAAACAGAGCTACAGGTAAGCAGGAAGTAGTTAGTTTCAGAGCTACAGGTAAACAGGAAGTAGTTCGTTTCAGACCTACAGGTAAACAGAGCTATAGGTAAACAGGAAGTAGTTCGTTTCAGAGCTACAGGTAAACAGAGCTACAGGTAAGCAGGAAGTAGTTAGTTTCAGACCTACAGGTAAGCAGGAAGTAGTTAGTTTCAGAGCTACAGGCAAACTGAGCTACAGGTAAGCAGGAAGTAGTTAGTTTCAGAGCTACAGGTAAACAGATCTATAGGTAAACAGAGCTACAGGTAAGCAGGAAGTAGTTAGTTTCAGAGCTACAGGTAAACAGAGCTACAGGTAAACAGGAAGTAGTTAGTTTCAGACCTACAGGTAAACAGAGCTACAGGTAAAGAGGAAGTAGTTAGTTTCAGACCTACAGGTAAACAGGAAGTAGTTAGTTTCAGATCTACAGGTAAACAGAGCTACAGGTAAACAGGAAGTAGTTAGTTTCAGACCTACAGGTAAACAGATCTACAGGTAAACAGAGCTACAGGTAAACAGGAAGTAGTTAGTTTCAGAGCTACAGGTAAACAGGAAGTAGTTAGTTTCAGACCTACAGGTAAACAGGAAGTAGTTAGTTTCAGATCTACAGGTAAACAGCTACAGGTAAACAGATCTACAGGTAAACAGGAAGTAGTTAGTTTCAGACCTACAGGTAAACAGGAAGTAGTTAGTTTCTCACCTACAGGTAGTTTCAGATCTACAGGTAAACAGGAAGTAGTTAGTTTCAGAGCTACAGGTAAACAGGAAGTAGTTAGTTTCAGACCTACAGGTAAACAGAGCTACAGGTAAACAGGAAGTAGTTAGTTTCATACCTACAGGTAAACAGAGCTACAGGTAAACAGGAAGTAGTTAGTTTCAGAACTACAGGTAAACAGAGCTACAGGTAAGCAGGAAGTAGTTCGTTTCAGAGCTACAGGTAAACAGGAAGTAGTTCGTTTCAGACCTACAGGTAAACAGAGCTACAGGTAAGCAGGAAGTAGTTAGTTTCAGAGCTACAGGTAAACAGAGCTACAGGTAAACAGGAAGTAGTTAGTTTCAGAGCTACAGGTAAACAGAGCTATAGGTAAACAGAGCTACAGGTAAGCAGGAAGTAGTTCGTTTCAGAGCTACAGGTAAACAGGAAGTAGTTTGTTTCAGAACTACAGGTAAACAGAGCTACAGGTAAGCAGGAAGTAGTTAGTTTCAGAGCTACAGGTAAACAGGAAGTAGTTCGTTTCAGACCTACAGGTAAACAGAGCTACAGGTAAGCAGGAAGTAGTTCGTTTCAGAGCTACAGGTAAACAGAGCTGCAGGTAAACAGGAAGTAGTTAGTTTCAGACCTACAGGTAAACAGGAAGTAGTTAGTTTCAGACCTACAGGTAAACAGAGCTACAGGTAAACAGGAAGTAGTTAGTTTCAGACCTACAGGTAAACAGAGCTACAGGTAAAGAGGAAGTAGTTAGTTTCAGACCTACAGGTAAACAGGAAGTAGTTAGTTTCAGATCTACAGGTAAACAGAGCTACAGGTAAATAGAAAGTAGTTAGTTTCAGACCTACAGGTAAACAGAGCTACAGGTAAACAGGAAGTAGTTAGTTTCAGACCTACAGGTAAACAGGAAGTAGTTCGTTTCAGACCTTCAGGTAAACAGAGCTACAGGTAAACAGGAAGTAGTTCGTTTCAGACCTACAGGTAAACAGACCTACAGGTAAACAGAGCTACAGGTAAGCAGGAAGTAGTTAGTTTCAGAGCTACAGGTAAACAGGAAGTAGTTAGTTTCAGACCTACAGGTAAACAGAGCTACAGGTATGCAGGAAGTAGTTAGTTTCAGAGCTACAGGTAAACAGGAAGTAGTTAGTTTCAGACCTACAGGTAAACAGAGCTACAGGTAAGCAGGAAGTAGTTAGTTTCAGAGCTACAGGTAAACAGAGCTACATGACCTCTGACCTCTCTCTGCAGGAGACTATGACCTCTGACCTCTCTCTGCAGGAGACCATGAAGCAGCTCACCTGGCTGGCGTCTGAACGGAGACTTTGTGCCGACGGAGACTCGGAGGAGGAAAACTCTCCGACCTCCGCCGGCTCTCAGGAGGAAGAGGAGGAGGAAGAGGAGGAAGAGGAGGAGGGGCCTAAAGGGGAGGAGTCTGGAGAGGGGGGTGGCAGTAAGGGGGGAGTAGATGAAGAGACGGCGGGGGGGGAGGGGAGGCCCAGAGGAGGGGGGGGGTCGGGGAGGTCGGGGGAGAGGTCAGACTCTCCGGCTCAGGGGGAGTCGGCAGGTCAGCAAAGACTCCAAGAAGCTGCTGCTGCTGTACGACGAGAACCTGCTGAGCCTCGACCCGCAGAGAGAGAGCAAAGACATGGCCTTCGCTCAGGGGTACCTGCAGCGGGTGAGAAGCACCACTCAGCATGACTCAGCACAACACGACTCAGCACACAGAACACAGAACACGACTCAGCACACGACTCAGCACACAGAACACGACTCAGCACAACACGACTCAGCACAACACGACTCAGCACAACACGACTCAGCACACAGAACACGACTCAGCACAACACGACTCAGCACAACACGACTCAGCACAACACGACTCAGCACAACACGACTCAGCACAACACGACTCAGCACACAGAACACGACTCATCACAACACGACTCAGCACAACACGACTCTGCACACAGAACACGACTCACGACTCAGCACACAGAACTCAGCACAACACGACTCAGCACAACACGACTCGGCACAACACGACTCAGCACACAGAACACGACTCAGCACAACACGACTCAGCACAACACGACTCAGCACACAGAACATGACTCATCACACAGAACATGACTCATCACACAGAACATGACTCATCACACAGAACACGACTCATCACACAGAACATGACTCATCACACAGAACACGACTCAGCGCAACACGACTCAGCACAACACGACTCAGCACACAGAACATGACTGAGCACACAGAACATGACTCATCACACAGAAGACGACTCAGCACAACACGACTCAGCACACAGAACATTACATTACATTGCATTTAGCTGACGCTTTTATCCAAAGCGACTTACAATAAGTACATTCGACCAGGAAGACACAACCTTGAAGAAAACAGAATCATAAAGTACATCAGGTTTCATAGAGCCAAAACATTTCAAGTGCTACTCAACTGGCTTTAGATAAGCCAGTCCTTTATTAGTATATAAGTGCTTTGTTAATAGTTCTATCGCTCGAAGTGGAGTCGACATGACTCAGCACAACACGACTCAGCACACAGAACATGACTCAGCACAACACGACTCAGCACACAGAACATGACTCGGCACACAGAACACGACTCAGCACACAGAACACGACTCAGCACACAGAACATGACTCATCACAAAGAACATGACTCATCACAACACGACTCAGCACACAGATCATGACTCATCACAACACGACTCAGCACACAGAATATGACTCAGCACAACATGACTCAGCACACAGAACACGACTCAGCACAACACGACTCAGCACACAGAATATGACTCATCACAACATGACTCATCAAACAGAACATGACTCATCACACAGAACATGACTCATCACACAGAACATGACTCATCACACAGAACATGACTCATCACACAGAACATGACTCGTCAAACACAGAACATGACTCATCACACAGAACATGACTCATCAAACACAGAACATGACTCATCACACAGAACATGACTCATCACACAGAACATGACTCATCAAACACAGAACATGACTCATCAAACACAGAACATGACTCATCACACAGAACATGACTCATCACACAGAACATGACTCATCACACAGAACATGACTCATCACACAGAACACGACTCATCACACAGAACATGACTCATCAGAACATGACTCATCACACAGAACATGACTCATCACAACACGACTCAGCACACAGAACATGACTCAGCACAACACGACTCAGCACACAGAACACGACTCAGCACACAGAACACGACTCAGCACACGACTCAGCACACAGAACATGACTCATCACACACAGAACATGACTCATCAAACAGAACATGACTCATCACACAGAACATGACTCATCACACAGAACATGACTCATCACACAGAACATGACTCATCACACAGAACATGACTCATCAAACACAGAACATGACTCAGCACACAGAACATGACTCATCAAACAGAACATGACTCATCAAACACAGAACATGACTCATCAAACACAGAACATGACTCATCAGAACATGACTCATCACACAGAACATGACTCATCAGAACATGACTCATCAGAACATGACTCATCACACAGAACATGACTCATCAGAACATGACTCATCACACAGAACATGACTCATCAGAACATGACTCATCACACAGAACATGACTCATCACACAGAACATGACTCATCACACAAAACACGACTCATCACACAGAACACGACTCATCACACAGAACACGACTCATCACACAGAACATGACTCATCACACAGAACATGACTCATCACACAGAACATGACTCATCAGAACATGACTCATCAGAACATGACTCATCAGAACATGACTCAACAGAACATGACTCATCAGAACATGACTCATCAGAACATGACTCATCAAACATAGAACACGACTCATCAGAACATGACTCATCAGAACATGACTCATCACACAGAACACGACTCATCACACAGAACATGACTCATCACACAGAACATGACTCATCAAACACAGAACACGACTCATCAAACACAGAACACGACTCATCACACAGAACATGACTCATCAGAACATGACTCATCAGAACATGACTCATCAGAACATGACTCATCACACAGAACATGACTCATCAGAACATGACTCATCAGAACACGACTCATCACACAGAACATGACTCATCACACAGAACATGACTCATCAGAACATGACTCATCAGAACATGACTCATCAGAACATGACTCATCAAACACAGAACACGACTCATCAAACACAGAACACGACTCATCAGAACATGACTCATCAGAACATGACTCATCAGAACATGACTCATCACACAGAACATGACTCATCACACAGAACATGACTCATCACACAGAACATGACTCATCAGAACACGACTCATCAAACACAGAACATGACTCATCAGAACATGACTCATCACACAGAACACGACTCATCAGAACATGACTCATCACACAGAACATGACTCATCACACAGAACAGGACTCATCACACAGAACATGACTCATCAGAACATGACTCATCAGACAGAACATGACTCATCACACAGAACATGACTCATCACACAGAGCATGACTCATCAGAACACGACTCATCAAACACAGAACATGACTCATCAGAACATGACTCATCACACAGAACACGACTCATCAGAACATGACTCATCACACAGAACATGACTCATCACACAGAACATGACTCATCAGAACACGACTCATCAAACACAGAACATGACTCATCACACAGAACATGACTCATCAGAACATGACTCATCACACAGAACACGACTCATCACACAGAACATGACTCATCAGAACATGACTCATCACACAGAACACGACTCATCAGAACATGACTCATCACACAGAACATGACTCATCACACAGAACATGACTCATCACACAGAACATGACTCATCAGAACATGACTCATCACACAGAACATGACTCATCACACAGAACATGACTCATCACACAGAACATGAATCATCACACAGAACATGACTCATCAAACACAGAACATGACTCATCAAACACAGAACATGACTCATCACACAGAACATGACTCATCACACAGAACATGACTCATCAAACACAGAACATGACTCATCAGAACACGACTCATCACACAGAACACGACTCATCAGAACATGACTCATCACACAGAACATGACTCATCACACAGAACATGACTCATCACACAGAACATGACTCATCAGAACACGACTCATCAAACACAGAACATGACTCATCACACAGAACATGACTCATCACACAGAACATGACTCATCAGAACACGACTCATCAAACAGAACATGACTCATCAGAACATGACTCATCACACAGAACATGACTCATCACACAGAACATGACTCATCACACAGAACACGACTCATCAGAACATGACTCATCACACAGAACACGACTCATCAGAACATGACTCATCACACAGAACATGACTCATCACACAGAACACGACTCATCACACAGAACACGACTCATCACACAGAACACGACTCATCACACAGAACATGACTCATCACACAGAACATGACTCATCAGAACATGACTCATCACACAGAACATGACTCATCACACAGAACATGACTCATCACACAGAACACGACTCATCAGAACATGACTCATCACACAGAACACGACTCATCAGAACATGACTCATCACACAGAACATGACTCATCACACAGAACACGACTCATCACACAGAACACGACTCATCACACAGAACATGACTCATCACACAGAACATGACTCATCACACAGAACATGACTCATCAGAACACGACTCATCAAACACAGAACATGACTCATCACACAGAACATGACTCATCACACAGAACATGACTCATCAGAACACCGACTCATCAAACAGAACATGACTCATCAGAACATGACTCATCACACAGAACATGACTCATCACACAGAACATGACTCATCACACAGAACACGACTCATCAGAACATGACTCATCACACAGAACACGACTCATCACAACATGACTCATCACATCCACAGAACATGACTCATCACACAGAACACGACTCATCACACAGAACACGAATCCTCACATCACCAGAACACGACTCATCACACAGAACACGACTCATCACACAGAACATGACTCATCAGAACATGACTCATCACACAGAACATGACTCATCACACAGAACATGACTCATCACACAGAACATGACTCATCACACAGAACACGACTCATCAGAACATGACTCATCACACAGAACACGACTCATCAGAACATGACTCATCACACAGAACACGACTCATCAGAACATGACTCATCACACAGAACATGACTCATCACACAGAACACGACTCATCACACAGAACACGACTCATCACACAGAACATGACTCATCACACAGAACATGACCCATCAGAACATGACTCATCACACAGAACATGACTCATCACACAGAACATGACTCATCACACAGAACATGACTCATCACACAGAACATGACTCATCAGAACATGACTCATCACACAGAACATGACTCATCGCACAGAACATGACTCATCACACAGAACATGACTCATCACACAGAACATGACTCATCAGAACACGACTCATCAAACAGAACATGACTCACGGCTTGTATGTAGCATGTAGCTTCAGGTAACTGTATGTGACCGTTCTGTGTGTCCAGGTGCGTGAAGCGCTGCAGGACTTACCTGGACAGGTGGAGGAGTTTGTGTCTCTCCTGAACGACTTCGAGCAGGTGGGCGAAGGACAGGAAGTTATGCTGTTGTTCAGGAAGCTGCGCTGCATCCTGGGAGATCGGACAGACCTCCTCCGAGACTTCGCTGCATTCCTGCATCCTGAGCAGGCGCTGCAGTGTGGACTGGTAAGCACAGGTGTATTACCTCAGGTGTATTACCTCAGTGTATTACCTCAGTGTATTACCTCAGGTGTATTACCTCAGGTGTATTACCTCAGGTGTATTACCTCAGGTGTATTACCTCAGGTGTATTATCTCAGGTGTATTACCTCAGTGTATTATCTCAGGTGTATTACCTCAGGTGTATTACCTCAGTGTATTATCTCAGGTGTATTACCTCAGGTGTATTATCTCAGGTGTATTACCTCAGTGTATTATCTCAGGTGTATTACCTCAGGTGTATTACCTCAGTGTATTACCTCAGTGTATTACCTCAGGTGTATTACCTCAGTGTATTACCTCAGGTGTATTATCTCAGGTGTATTACCTCAGGTGTATTATCTCAGGTGTATTACCTCAGTGTATTACCTCAGGTGTATTACCTCAGGTGTATTACCTCAGGTGTATTACCTCAGTGTATTATCTCAGGTGTATTACCTCAGGTGTATTACCTCAGTGTATTACCTCAGGTGTATTACCTCAGTGTATTATCTCAGGTGTATTACCTCAGGTGTATTACCTCAGGTGTATTACCTCAGTGTATTACCTCAGGTGTATTACCTCAGGTGTATTACCTCAGTGTATTACCTCAGGTGTATTACCTCAGTGTATTACCTCAGTGTATTACCTCAGGTGTATTACCTCAGTGTATTATCTCAGTGTATTACCTCAGGTGTATTACCTCAGTGTATTATCTCAGGTGTATTACCTCAGGTGTATTACCTCAGTGTATTAACCTCAGTGTATTAACCTCAGTGTATTACCTCAGTGTATTACCTCAGGTGTATTACCTCAGTGTATTACCTCAGGTGTATTACCTCAGTGTATTACCTCAGTGTATTACCTCAGGTGTATTACCTCAGTGTATTACCTCAGTGTATTACCTCAGTGTATTACCTCAGGTGTATTACCTCAGTGTATTATCTCAGGTGTATTACCTCAGGTGTATTACCTCAGTGTATTACCTCAGGTGTATTACCTCAGTGTATTACCTCAGTGTATTACCTCAGGTGTATTACCTCAGTGTATTACCTCATGGTAGTTACTCTCAGTGTTACCTCAGGTGTATTACCTCAGGTGTATTACCTCAGTGTATTACCTCAGGTGTATTACCTCAGTGTATTACCTCAGTGTATTATCTCAGGTGTATTACCTCAGGTGTATTACCTCAGGTGTATTACCTCAGTGTATTACCTCAGTGTATTACCTCAGTGTATTACCTCAGGTGTATTACCTCAGTGTATTATCCTCAGTGTATTACCTCAGTGTATTACCTCAGTGTATTACCTCAGGTGTATTACCTCAGTGTATTATCTCAGGTGTATTACCTCAGTGTATTACCTCAGTGTATTACCTCAGGTGTATTATCTCAGGTGTATTACCTCAGGTGTATTATCTCAGGTGTATTACCTCAGTGTATTACCTCAGGTGTATTACCTCAGGTGTATTACCTCAGTGTATTATCTAGGTGTATTACCTCAGGTGTATCCTTACCTCAGGTGTATTACCTCAGTGTATTACCTCAGGTGTATTACTCAAGTGTATTACCTCAGTGTATTACCTCAGGTGTATTACCTCAGGTGTATTACCTCAGTGTATTATCTCAGGTGTATTACCTCAGGTGATTATCCTCAGGTTATTACCTCAGGTATTACCTCAGGTGTATTATCTCAGGTGTATTACCTCAGGTGGTATTATCTGCAGGTGTATTACCTCAGGTGTATACCTCAGGGTGTATTACCTCAGGTGTATTACCTCAGGTGTATTACCTCAGGTGTATTACCTCAGGTGTATTACCTCAGGGTATGTACTCAGGTGTATTACCTCAGTGTATATCCTCAGGATATGTATTACCCTCAGGTGTATTACCTCAGGTGTATTACCTCAGGTGAATTACCTCAGGTGTATTACCTCAGGTGTATTACCTCAGTGTATTATCTCAGGTGTATTACCTCAGGTGTATTACCTCAGGTGTATTATCTCAGGTGTATTACCTCAGGTGTATTAACCTCAGGTGTATTACCTCAGTGTATTATCTCAGGTGTATTACCTCAGGTGTATTACCTCAGTGTATTATCTCAGGTGTATTACCTCAGGTGTATTACCTCAGTGTATTACCTCAGGTGTATTACCTCAGTGTATTACCTCAGGTGTATTACCTCAGGTGTATTACCTCAGTGTATTATCTCAGGTGTATTACCTCAGTGTATTATCTCAGGTGTATTACCTCAGTGTATTATCTCAGGTGTATTACCTCAGTGTATTACCTCAGGTGTATTACCTCAGTGTATTACCTCAGGTGTATTACCTCAGGTGTATTACCTCAGGTGTATTACCTCAGGTGTATTACCTCAGTGTATTATCTCAGGTGTATTACCTCAGGTGTATTACCTCAGGTGTATTACCTCAGGTGTATTACCTCAGTGTATTATCTCAGGTGTATTATCTCAGGTGTATTACCTCAGGTGTATTATCTCAGGTGTATTACCTCAGGTGTATTACCTCAGTGTATTATCTCAGGTGTATTACCTCAGGTGTATTATCTCAGGTGTATTATCTCAGGTGTATTACCTCAGGTGTATTACCTCAGGTGTATTACCTCAGGTGTATTATTTCAGGTGTATTATCCAGACCCGGCGTCATGGGCGGGCCCCCGGCCCATCCAGGATTTGGGCCCGCTGTTTTAATCAGGGCTGAATACCACATTTTAATTGTTTTATTATTATATTTATTATTGTTATTTGTAGGGCTTTGTCCTAATATTTATTTTAGTTTTAAACTATGTTGAAAGATTAGTTTAATATCATGTTTTTATTTTTCTATGAAATTCTGAATGAAAGGCTGCGCGCGAGACTGGTTTTTCGCTGGGTTGAGTCGTGTGGGTTTTTGAGTGAGATGCGGCACAGCAGCCTGTCAGTTTACTCTTGCTAGGTTAGTTTGGCTATTATCATTTATATTTATCTGCAAAAGAATATGGCAACTCAGCGCCAGATGCAGGCACATTAGAAGACATCAGTTACGTTACCAACGAGCAAGCAAGTCAGCTGGCAATCAATTATATATTAATATATAAACTCCGGCTCTGTGCGCAAGCAGACCGCTGCACATGCTCTCTGCCTCGCTCAATATCGCTCTCTCTCTCCCTTTCTCTCCATGGCTCAACCTCACTCCACCTCTCCACCCTGTGTGCGCTCCTCAGGTTTGCCTGCGTGCTTTCCCAAGTTGGCACAGCGTTACAAATGTGCCACAAAACCAACCAATAGATGTAGCCTATAATAAGACCGTCAACAGCCTTATGGCAACCTAAAATCTATGACCTAAAACCCCTCTGTTACCGTAACAACAATTCACGAGCGCCTCCCTCACCCCCCCCCCCCCCCCCCCCCCCCCCCCCCCCCCCCCCCCCCCGTTGACAATACAGATTTCCCGGGATATGTGAGTTTCGGGGTGGGCCCCGCCCTGGTGAATCAAATGCACGCCCAGAGACGTATGTCTGCCGCCGGGTCTGGTATTATCTCAGGTACACCTAGAAATAACAGTCACACCTGAGAGATCACACGTGGATATTATCTCAAGTATTTTTAGGTAATGTTTTTTTGCAGGTCTCCCTTGAAAAAGAGATCTATGATCTCAATGGGACAAATCTGGTTAAATAAAGGTTTGAAATGAAAAAAAAAAAAAATGTCTTTCTCATATATTTTGTAAATGTTTTGCATTTTTAGGACTTTTTTTGCATATTTTAAAAAGTATTCTAAGGAATGTTTAATTCCCACGTTTTTAACATATTTTCGTCACACTTTTTGTTTGTGACAAGGTGTTGGTAACGTATAACTAATTATTGATGTGACTGTCCTCCTGCAGTTTGAGGAGCAGCAGGCGTTTGAGCGCAGCCGGCGTTTCCTGCGACAGTTAGAGATCAGTTTTGGAGATAATCCATCACATTATCAGAAGATCATCAAAGCTCTGCAGACCGGCCCAGACCTGAGTCCCAGCAGTATCCACGAGGTACACCACCCAACACTAGCTCTACACCACCCAACACTAGCTCTACACCACCCCAACACTAGCTCTACACCACCCAACACTAGCTCTACACCACCCAACACTAGCTCTACACCACCCAACACTAGCTCTACACCACCCCAACACTAGCTCTACACCACCCAACACTAGCTCTACACCACCCAACACTAGCTCTACACCACCCAACACTAGCTCTACACCACCCAACACTAGCTCTACACCACCCAACACTAGCTCTACACCACCCAACACTAGCTCTACACCACCCAACACTAGCTCTACACCACCCAACACTAGCTCTACACCACCAAACACTAGCTCTACACCACCCAACACTAGCTCTACACCACCAAACACTAGCTCTACACCACCAAACACCAGCTCTACACCACCCAACACCAGCTCTACACCACCAAACACCAGCTCTACACCACCCAACACAAGCTCTACACCACCAAACACCAGCTCGCGAGTCCGGATCACTCAGTGATGATACTATATACCTACATAATCTGTGGAGTCTCAGCTTTAATCGGATATATTGTATGTGCAGCTACGATAAGTAATAAGGGTACTTTTATCTTGAGTTCTGTGCCAATGTCCGTTAGCATTTTTCGCTCAGGGGTCATTTAGATGCTTCTTATGAGACTTGTGTTTTGTTTTGGTAAACATGGTTTGTATAGTCAGTTAGCTGAGATTATTTCCGTTAATCTGGTATAACACATTAATAGGTTCTTAAATAATAAGATCCCCTGAGACACAGTATCGTGAAAACATTTTTTTTTACATTACGTTTTTTTTACATTACGTTTTTTATGAATTGGACAACAGAAAAATAATCGTTAGATTAGTCGACTAATCGATCAAATAATCGCCCGATTAATCGTTTTCAAAATAATCGTTTCCCCCCAGCACTAGTGTATAGGCAGAAGAGGAGGGGACCAAGAACAGAGCCCTGAGGGACCCCCGTAGTTAATTGACAAGGGTCGGACTCAGACCCTCTCCAAGTCACCCTGTAGGTACGGTCTTTCAGGTATGAGGTGATGAGGGAAAGTGCAGAGCCTGAAACTCCAAGTTTTTGGAGAGTGCGAAGGAGGATCTGATGATTCACCGTGTCGAATGCAGCAGACAGGTCCAACAGGATGATGACAGAGGAGAGGGATGCAGTTTTGGCAGTGTGCAGTTCCTCAGTGACAGCAATGAGAGCAGTTTCTGTGGAGTGACCTGCCTTGAAACCAGACTGGTGCGGATCCAGAAGGTTGTTCTGATTGAGATAACAGGAGAGTTGTTTAAAGACAGCGCGTTCAAGTGATTTAGACAGGAACGGGAGGAGAGAGACAGGCCTGTAGTTTATAACATCAGACGGGTTGAGAGTGGGTTTCTTTAGGAGAGGGTTTACTCTTGCCTCCTTGAGACTGTTTGGAAAGTGACCAGAAGTTAGAGAAGTGTTGATGAAATGGGAGAGAAACGGTAGAATATCAGGAGCGATAGTCTGAAGGAGGTTTGAAGGGATAGGGTCCAGAGGACAGGTGGTAGGGCGGGCAGAGGTCGCTTGACAGAAGTGAGGAGGGGGGAGGGGCTTTGGGGGGGTCCAAGAGGGTGGAGAAGATGGAAAATAGTTTTTTAGGATTGGAATAGGAAGATTGGATCTTATCTTGAAAGAAAGTGCTTTTTGCCTGAGAGATCGAAGCAGAGAAAGAGGAGAGGAGAGCTTGATAGGTTAGGAGGTCGTCACGGTGTTTGGATTTCCACCATTTCCGCTCTGCTGCCCTAAGGACGGTTCTATTAGCACGCAGTGCATCATTTAGCCAGGGAGCAGGAGGGGACTGACGAGCCTGCCGAGATGTGAGAGGACAGAGCGAGTCCAGAGTGGATGAGAGAGTAGAGAGGAGAGTTTCTGCAGCAGAGTTTGGAGGCAGGAGTTGGAACGAGTCAGAGGGAGGGAGGGCTGAGAGCACCGACGAGGCAAAGGTAGAGGGGGAGAGGGAGCGAAGGTTACGGCGGACAAGTGCAGGATGAGAAGAGATTAGTTTGTTATGTTTGGAAAGAGGTACAGAGAGGTTAGAAGTAGCGCAGTTCCTTGAGAATATGAGATCAAGGACATTGCCAGCTTTATGAGTTGGTGGGGACGGAGACAGTGAGAAAGCAAAGGCGGTTAACAGAGATGTTAGTTCGTCTATCTTCCCCGTCTGGAGGTTGAAGTCTCCGAGAAGTACAGCGGGAGGGCCAGTTTCAGGGATGTGTGAGAGGAGATGATCTAATTCCTCCAAGAAGTCCCCCAAGGCGCCTGGTGGACGGTAGAGAACAACAATGGTTAACTGTATAGGATGGGTTACTGTGACGGCATGGAATTCAAAGGTGGAAGGAGTGAAGTTAGGTAGCTTGAAGAGGGAAAAGCTCCATTTGGGAGAGAGCAGGAGACCAGTGCCACCTCCTCTGCCAGTTGGTCTGGGTGTATGGGAGAAGGAATATGCTGTGGAGAGAGCTGCTGGGGTGGATGTGTTGGATGGAGTAATCCAGGTCTCAGTGAGAGCAAGGAAATCCAGAGACTGCAGGGAGGCGTAGCCAGAGATGAAGTCAGCCTTAGGAACAGCTGACTGGCAGTTCCACATGCCACCTGAAACTAGATGTTGGATCTCAGTGGAGCATGTGGGATAGATGAGAGCAGGCCGGTTATATCGATGACGAGATACACGGGGCCAGTGATAATTGCGAGAAGACACATGAACAGGAATGGAGAAAATACACATGATTATAGCATGAGGGGCTAAACAACCAAATAAAATGAAACAAAATTAAAAAAACACCAGCGATACTTAGCTCAATCAAAGTAGGATTTGCCTCCTCTTTGCCTCCCTCGTGACTCCCGCAGGACTCTAATGTCTTTGCCAGTCTTACTCCCGCAGGACTCTAATGTCTTTGCCAGTCTTAGCCTGTCTGACGCTGAAGCTGACGCTCCAGGAAAGTGCTACCTAAAATGGACACCTGATTGCTGAGTTCTCACAGCTGTGGGGCAACGTCCCTTTAATTAGTTAACTCTGCAGCTGGTGGCCCTCAAAAGGAAATCTAGACTGGCTTCGTCCTGATGTGTTATTGTCTTTTAAGTCAATTACATTAAACCCTAAGTTATAAAGTTCTGAGTTTAACCCTACACCACCAAACACCAGCTCTACACCACCAAACACTAGCTCTACCCCACCAAACACTAGCTCTACACCACCAAACACCAGCTCTACCCCACCAAACACTAGCTCTACACCACCAAACACTAGCTCTACACCACCAAACACTAGCTCTACACCACCCAACACTAGCTCTACACCACCAAACACCAGCTCTACACCACCAAACACTAGCTCTACACCACCAAACACCAGCTCTACACCACCAAACACCAGCTCTACACCACCAAACACTAGCTCTACACCACCAAACACTAGCTCTACACCACCCAACACTAGCTCTACACCACCAAACACCAGCTCTACACCACCCGACACCAGCTCTACACCACCAAACACTAGCTCTACACCACCAAACACCAGCTCTACACCACCAAACACTAGCTCTACACCACCAAACACCAGCTCTACACCACCAAACACTAGCTCTACACCACCCAACACTAGCTCTACACCACCAAACACCAGCTCTACACCACCAAACACTAGCTCTACCCCACCAAACACTAGCTCTACACCACCCAACACCAGCTCTACCCCACCAAACACTAGCTCTACACCACCCAACACCAGCTCTACACCACCCAACACCAGCTCTACACCACCAAACACTAGCTCTACACCACCAAACACTAGCTCTACCCCACCAAACACTAGCTCTACACCACCAAACACTAGCTCTACACCACCAAACACTAGCTCTACACCACCAAACACTAGCTCTACCCACCAAACACTAGCTCTACCCCACCAAACACTAGCTCTACCCCACCAAACACTAGCTCTACACCACCAAACACTAGCTCTACACCACCAAACACTAGCTCTACACCACCAAACACTAGCTCTACACCACCAAACACTCAAAAGCTCATCTTTATTTGTTTTCCAGCTGAAGGCTCAGATGGCCGCGCTGCTGAAAGGCCACACCCATCTCCAAGCTGAATTCTGGGTATTTTTCGACGAGCTCCGCCCCCCTCCAGCACGCCCGGGACAGTTTGAGGAAGCTTATTGGCCGGAGGAAGGAGGGGGCGGGCCAGACTGTGGAGAGGGCGTCGGCATCTTGTTAGGAGGCGGGGCCAGCAGCGGCTTCGAGGAAGTGACGCTCCCGGAGCTGGAAGAAGAAGAGGAGGGGCTTAAGATCCAGCCAATGACGAGCCGGCGCCAGAGGAGGAAGATGGACGCCCACAGGAACTACAAGGTGTGAAAACATTGAGGCTAGCTTCAGTGATGAGGCCCCTCTGGACATAAACCCACTAACTTCACTCATCCCAGTAATGTCTCTTCTAAGTAATAATTAAATCAGTTGATATCATTTAATACACGCAAGTTAATACGCTCTGCTCATAGCAACCAGAGTCTAGTCACTAACCAAAGTTAAAATAACTCTGATGTTCCAGGACTGTGATTGGTCGGACAACCGCAGACACCACAGGAAAGGATGCTTGCATTGCCACGGCAACAAGGCACCAGGGGGCGTGTCCCGAGCGATGAAGAGGCTGGACCCTCTGTATGCTCAGATAAGCCCCGCCCACCTCCATCCAGGTGATAAGGACCTGAAGGGGGATGACAGCCCGCCACCAGGTAACTGGGTTCAACTGGACCTGTGCTGGGGGGACATGTTGGGAACTGGACCTGTGTTGGGGGGACATGTTGGGAACTGGACCTGTGTTGGGGGGAAATGTTGGGAACTGGACCTGTGTTGAGGGGACATGTTGGGAACTGGACCTGTGCTGGGGGGACATATTGGGAACTGGACCTGTGCTGGGGGGACATGTTGGGAACTGGACCTGTGCTGGGGGGACATGTTGGGAACTGGACCTGTGCTGGGGGGACATGTTGGGAACTGGACCTGTGCTGGGGGGACATGTTGGGAACTGGACCTGTGCTTTGGGGACATGTTGGGAACTGGACCTGTGCTGCGGGGACATGTTGGGAACTGGACCTGTGCTGGGGGGACATGTTGGCAACTGGACCTGTGCTGGGGGGACATGTTGGGAACTGGACCTGTGCTGGGGGGACATGTTGGGAACATGTTGGGAACTGGACCTGTGCTGGGGGGACATGTTGGGAACTGGACCCTGAGGGTTCTGGGTCAGTAGAGGACGTACCCCCAATGTCCTGTCTCGTCCTCAGGTCACAGCAGTGCATCATGGGAAGGCTCATTCCCTCTGATTGATGAGAAGGAGGAAGAGGAGGACGAGGAAGAGGAGGAGCTGGAGGATGAGGAAGAAGAAGAAGAAGAGGAGGAGAGGAAGACCAGTGAGGAGTCCAGTCCAACGGTGAAGAGGAGCAGGATGGAGGAGGTGGGAGGGGGCTCACCTGTTATCTCCCCCTCTTTATCCTCCCCCTCTTTATCCCCCTCCCTCCCCTCCTCTAACCAGCCACTATCCCCCTCCCTCCCCTCCTCTAACCAGCCATTATCCCCCTCCTCTAACCAGCCATTATCCCCCTCCTCTAACCAGCGACTATCCCCCTCCTCTAACCAGCCACTATCCCCCTCCTCTAACCAGCCACTATCCCCCTCCTCTAACCAGCCACTATCCACCTCCTCTAACCAGCCACTATCCCTCACCTCCTCCCTCACCTCCTCCCTCACCTCCTCCATCACCTCCTCTGACCAGCCATTATCCCCCTCCCTCACCTCCTCTAACCAGCTATTACCCCCCTCCTCTGACCAGCCACTATCCCCCTCCCTCACCTCCTCTAACCAGCCATTATCCCCCTTCTCTAACCAGCCATTATCCCCATCCCCCTCCTCCTCTAACCAGCCACTATCCCCCTCCCTCACCTCCTCTAACCAGCCATTATCCCCCTCCCTCACCTCCTCTAACCAGCCACTATCCCCCTCCTCTAACCAGCCATTATCCCCCTCCCTCACCTCCTCTAACCAGCCATTATCCCCCTCCCTCACCTCCTCTAACCAGCCACTATCCCCCTCCTCTAACCAGCCATTATCCCCCTCCCTCACCTCCTCTAACCAGCCATTATCCCCCTCCCTCACCTCCTCTACCAGCCACTATCCCCCTCCTCTAACCAGCCATTATCCCCCCTCTCTCACCTCCTCTAACCAGCCATTATCCCCCTCCCTCACCTCCTCTAACCAGCCACTATCCCCCTCTCTCACCTCCTCTAACCAGCCACTATCCCCCTCCTCTAACCAGCCATTATTCCCATCCCCCTCCTCCTCTAACCAGCCATTATCCCCATCCCCCTCCTCCTCTAACCAGCCATTATCCCCCTCCCCCCCCTCCTCTAACCAGCCATTATCCCCCTCCCTCACCTCCTCTAACCAGCCATTATCCCCCCTCCCTCACCTCCTCTAACCAGCCATTATCCCCATCCCCCTCCTCCTCTAACCAGCCATTATCCCCCTCCTCTAACCAGCCATTATCCCCATCCCCCTCCTCCTCTAACCAGCCATTATCCCCCTCCCTCACCTCCTCTAACCAGCCATTATCCCCCTCCCTCACCTCCTCTAACCAGCCATTATCCCCCTCCCTCACCTCCTTTAACCAGCCATTATCCCCCTCCCTCACCTCCTCTAACCAGCCTGCCAAGAACATTTCTCTGACAGCGAGCGGAGAGAAGGTCATCCTGTGGACCAGGTAATAATAACAACAACTACAATAACAACAATAACAACAATAACAACAATATAATAAAAGCGTTGTCGATGGCTGTTGTTTTTCAGAGAGGCAGACCGGGTCATTTTGACGACGTGTCAGCAGGAAGGAGCCAATCAGAGCACTTTTCAGGCCGTCTCTTCTCTGCTTGGCAACAAGTCTCCGAGCGAGGTGATTGGCTGTTCTGTTTTGTGTCTGCGCTGTGATTGGTCGACAGTGTGAGTAACTCTTCTCGTGTCTCCAGGTGTCGCGGCGGTTTCAGGATTTGATGCGTTTGTTTCGGACAGCCCGGCAGACAGAGGACGAGGCTCCACCCCCTGAGCTGGCAGCAGCCAATGAGGAAGCAGACAGGGATGACAGCCAATCAGAAGAGCCGAAGCTTGTTTGACATTTGCAGGACTTCAAATATGTGTTTAGTGTAAATATGAAAATATCAGATTATTTAATGTTTTTGTAAAATTTCTTTTAAAATAAAACATGTTTTTTTCATCAAAGTGTGGATTTATTATTATTTTTCATTTTTTTACATGTTATTGTTATCGTGGGAAACGTATCCTCCTCTTTAGAGAAGAGTTGGTCTGTTTGAGCCACGATGAACGAGGTTCAGGCGTTTGGTTTTAAAGCTTTCCGATCAAACAAAATGCACTCTCTGATGTATTTTCTACATCACTGTTACGTGCCGTAGTGTTTGTGTGGTCGTGGGTGTGTGTTTCTCTCTCTCCCTCTGACTCCCCAGGTGCAGCCTCTCCCCAGGTGCTCCCAATCCTCAATCAGGGCCTCCATATAGGACCGGAGGAGGACGGCAGTGAGACGCCTTTTCTCGCCTTCTCATCTGGCTGCATGTGTGCAGCATGTCTCTGTGTGAGACCCAGCATAGTTGTGTGTTTATTGTAAGAGTGTTTTGTAATTTGGCTGGTGAGCCGCCTTACTTATTTACCAATTAAAACCTCACTTAAACTCCTTCAGCATTCAGTTTCCTCTCCTTTCTCTCTCGTCCGGCTATCTTGTCTGTCGCTACTTCCCTTGGTACCCCTAGATCAGGGGTGCCCAACCTTTTTTGAACCGAGAGCTACTTTTAAAGTTGCCAGTCTGCCGAGATCTACCAGTCCAATAGAGAGGCATTACTGGACAGCCTACTACCAGGTAAATACACACTTCTACTTGTATAAAACTGACCTTTGTACGATGAATACTTCATAAAATACTGCAGATCCTTTATCTTACCCTCTTTCTAATCTACACACATACAAGTATTTAACTGAAGTTACACAACAGTTGTTTGATACAGAGTTGGAGTTTATTCACACGTCACCACAGTGGGTAATGTTTTCAAGAAACATTGAACAGTGCTGCCACATATGACTCAGGGAGAAAAGAAAATACTCTGAACCCTTTCTTTGCCATTATATAAAAAATAGTGTTGCTACAAAAGTATAAATTAGGCTTACTAATAAGACAACTCAGATCTGAAGCTATCACAGGATCTGCTGCAACAGTGCAATAAAAAAGACAAAATTAATAGAATCAAAACCCTTTTTTATGCATTTTAGTAGAGTATAAAAAGAAATGCCTTTAAAATATGGAATGCAAGCACATCTAGTTTCTTAACCTGAATTGATAATAGACTATAATCAATTTAAAACAGAACAGATCTTAATGTTTGCATTCTTATATACCATTTTTGTAGCAATAATTATAATGAATAAGTTCAACAAACTAAACTTACAGCTAGATAATAACGGTATCTAACCTTGAGTTTTTATTATATCAAAAACCTGTTGAAATGCTTCTGTTATTTTTTACTTGTCCCCAAAAGCGCGTGGGCAGCCTCCATGAATGCTTCTTTCAACAAACTTCGCCGTCTTTGAAAGACTTCATGTGTTTCGCAAGAACGTGACTGACACGATAAGATGCTCTGGCACAGCCTTGCTCTTGTTGTGGGCCTGGTGAAAATGGACTGCTGTGCATTTAGCTGGTCCTTTCAGGCCCCTCCCCTTTTGGAGCGTAGGGCAGAATTAGGAGGGAATTCCGTCTCGTAGCGTTTGTGCACTGTTTTGAAATGCCGCTCCTAAATTACCCTTCTTCAATAAAGCCACCGCTCGCATTGCAGATGAGACGGATGGACTTTGAATTGGAATAGATACAAAATAATCATCCTCCCACTCGGAGTGAAAATTATATAATTTGGGCTTTTTTGCTTCTGCCATAATTGCGGTCTTGTGTGTGTGCGGACTGGCACTCCTGTTGACACGGACAACGTCAGCGAAATACTGCCCACTGCCCACCAGCCACGCCCCGACACATGGGGTCACGCCGGCCAATCACAAAGCTTTGATGCGTTCATGTACATTATTCTGCACAGGAAGATTATGTTACAGGACATTAACGATACAACAGAATGTTGTTGTTCTATTTTTAGACACATCTCGCGATCGACTGGGAATCTCCCCGCGATCGACCGGTCGATCGCGATCGACTGGTTGGGCACCCCTGCCCTAGATCTACAAGGGAACGTAACATTGGGGCTCGTCCGGGATCTTTGAGACAAAGAGTGAGTATTTGGTTGTTGGTTAGTGTTGATATGGTGTTTGGTGGTGAGCAGTAGTGTATATAAGTGTAGAATTGGCTGTGAAATTATTTACTGTTGAACATCTTCCTCAGTTTAGAGAGGGGAGTGTCTAGCTGGACTGAATCAGTCCTTCCTTCAGGCACTCATTTTTTATTTTGCCTTTTTTATTTTCGGGGTAATCCTGGGTGGGGATTTATTCCCTGGTGGGGGCAGGCGATTCAGGGTTTCGGCCGCTGATGTTTGCCTTTAAAGTCGCCTCTAGCCCGGCACGCCCCAGAAGATAGTTAGGTAAAGTTTGGTAGGCAGGATCTGGGGAAGTTTGTAAATAAATAAATAATATGTGTAAATAGCCGTTGCTAAGGATGGTTTTTTGTGTTGGAGCAGTTTGTGGCCAGTCCTACTGTGGGTCAGCTAGACGGGTGCAGGAAGGTTGATTTGCGGTTAGTTGCTGACCATTATCATGTTCTGTCTCCTCGGCTCTGGTAAAAAGTGAACTAAAGGCTACTTTGATAACTGGACTAGTTGAACAGGGGGTTTTGAGGCGGCCTGCTTTAGTGGAATCTCCTGGCACGGTGGTTCAGAGTGCTACGGAACAGGCAAACATTTTCACCACACCTCAGTTTGACTCGTTTTCGGGAGGATCCTAACCTACGGGGTCTAAATTAGATGCCAGGGTAAAAGTGCGTATGGCTCGTCTCCAGTGTGAGAGGGAGGAGCGTGAGCGAGAGTTTCAGCTCAGGAAGGAGATGGAGATCAGGAAGCAGGAGGCAGACACTGCTGTCCGGATGCGTCAGCTAGAGCTCCAAGCAGCTGTGGTGGGTGATTCTGCAGTTACACCTTCTGGTCCTGCTGCCTCCTTTGACGTGAGCAGGCATATTTCTTTGGTCCCTGTGTTTCGGGAATCAGAGGTCGATGTCTATTTTGGTGCCTTTGAGCGCATTGCTGCTGCCCTGCACTGGCCAGAAGACGTGTGGGCTATTCTGTTACAGTGCAAGCTAGTCGGCAAGGCTCAAGCGGCTTGCTCTTCTCTTTCTGTCGAGGACAGTTTGGTGTATGAGAAGGTGAAAGGTGCTATTCTCAGGGCATATGAGCTAGTGCCTGAGGCCTACAGGCAGCGTTTTCGCGGCATGAAGAAAGCTTCTGGCCAAACGTACGTGGACTTCGCGAGGGAGAAGAAAGCCCTCTTTGACAGGTGGTGTAGAGCGTGTAGAGCTGATGACATTGCTTCAGTGTGCGAGCTAATGATGTTAGAGGAGTTTAAACACTCTGCACCGGAGCGTACGGTTGTCTATCTGAATGAGCAGAAAGTGACTACTCTTCAGCAGGCTGCCACTCTGGCAGACAAGTTTGCGCTGATACACAAGAGCGTTTTTTTTCAGCGTGATCCTCCTCAGCGGGACACTTATCGTAGAGCTCCTGATAATTACGTTCCCTGTGCCAGAGTTCCATTGTTAGGTCCCAGGATAAACAGAGCTTGTCATTTTTGTCTTGACCCAGGTCATATGATAGCCGACTGTGCAGCTTGGAAGAGAAAGCAGACAGTGGATGGCAGGCGCCCAGAAGGGGTGGGTTTGGTTACAGCAGTGTGTCCTAGTGGACGGGCCACTGTTAACAAAGGGCCTGATGAGTGCTTGAAACCTAAAGTGTATCCTCAGGGCAGTTATCCTCACTGTAGGGCTCGTAACGGACGTGTCACACGTGCTCAGTCCGTTTCTCTCCAGGTCCTGACACTAAGAGATTGTGTTTATTTGTCTTGACCCTGGTCATTGGCGGCGGAGTGTGATGCTTGGAAGCAGCAGGTGGCAGCTTCCAAGCATCCAATGGTATGCTGGTGAACTGGGTGGTGGGTGTTGTTGGTTAACTGTGACCAAACACTTGTTTGGTTTTATGGGGGGAAGTGTTACGTGCCGTAGTGTTTGTGTGGTCGTGGGTGTGTGTTTCTCTCTCTCCCTCTGACTCCCCAGGTGCAGCCTGATTGTCCCCAGGTGCAGCCTCTCCCCAGGTGCTCCCAATCCTCAATCAGGGCTTCCATATAGGACCGGAGGAGGACGGCAGTGAGAGGCCTTTTCTCGCCTTCTCATCTGGCTGCATGTGTGCAGCATGTCTCTGTGTGAGGACCCAGCATAGTTGTGTGTTTATTGTAAGAGTGTTTTGTAATTTGGCTGGTGAGCCGCCTTACTTATTTACCAATTAAAACCTCACTTAAACTCCTTCAGCATTCAGTTTCCTCTCCTTTTTCTCTCGTCCGGCTATCTTGTGTGTCGCTACTTCCCTTGGTACCCCTAGATCTACAAGGGAACGTAACAATCACTATGTGTCCCGGTGTGTCAGGAGACTCACAAAGTGTGAGGAAATAAACCCCATCTCTAAAAACGGGGGAACAACGGAGCTGATCCAGATTTGCTGCGTCATGACGACATTACTAAAATGTGGGCGGGCTTTACCCCCACGGGCCAATCAGAAACGTTGCTGTCAGAAACAATGAGACGTGTTCTGGAAGTAATATGGTCTGTGTTTACATTAGCATGCTAACACTCAGAGCTAACCTGTGCTGGAGAGAGTCTGTTAAGAAGCAGGAAACCACCCAGGGGTCTGAACCTTGAGCTACCAAGTAGTCGAGCTGCTGCTGGGAGAAATAACCGAAAACCTCGGTACCTTGTCCCCCGGCCTCTGGAGCCTCTGTGGGGGGGGCGACGGTTAGGCACCGAAGGCTGAGGATGCCTGGGGGGCGAGTTAGCAGGACCGCGCTGGTAGCGGGCCGGCCTCCTCGTTGGATGCTGAGGCCCATGGTGGGCACCGGGGTGAGCCGGTGGATGGGAGCAGCCTCGGGAGGCAGACGCGGAACCTCTAGGCCTACCGGGGGGGGGGCATGTTTCTGCAAAGAGCTGAGAACTGTTGGCTGGTCTAACTAGCTTGGACAGTCCG